TATTATTTATATATCAATTATGTTATATTTACTTACTGTCCTAAATATATAAATACTTTATATATCCTTCAATTATTTAAAAGTTTACGTCATTTTATAGTTCATCTTTCTGCTGCGGATATGTCACAAGAGATTGCACAGTGCGCAGTGTGCAGCGTGACAGATGCATTTACATATACTAACGTGTACATGTGGTAGTTTTGCAAATGGCGTCCAACCGTAAGAAACTATTCCTTTGAGCGGATTCCCTCCCAATTAGGCGTCAGAATCGGGACCACTTTCTCCATTCGCGCGCTATGAAGTTCGATCTCCTTACTCTTACTTCGTGACCGCAACTCGTCATCAGTACCACCATTTTGTTCAGATAAAATGGCTGCCGGAGTCGGTAAATTACCACCATCAAAAAGTCTGTGTTCCGCAGATGTTGTCGGTAATTAAGAGTTACCATCGTAAGCAGTAACCTTTAGTCGGTAAGATACCATTCTTAAATCCGAACCACCTAGCATCACCGTAATTGTAAAATTAAGAAGTTAATAACTAAAGGAAATAAAGCAAAACCGTTTGCACCACGAGAATCAGCGTTTTAAACTGCAAAATATCAGTCAAGTTAAAAGTTCCCGAAAATGTTGGTTAACAATCCGTTATTTAAATAACAGAAATTGTTAAACAATCATGACTTAAGGCTCGTGAAATTACCACCAAGATATGTATAAGGCCTTACGAGCCATTCTCAAGATGTTGTGAGTAGAAACTTGTACGTGTATATACTTCCATGATCAAAAAATAACCGGAATTTTTAACTTTAACCTCGCGGGCTTATCGGTTTAGAATTCTGTTGTTTGTGTCACGTTGGCAGCACTGTTACGGACACCCATGCCAAGCTTCTGCTTATCAGCTGTTCATTTACCTTTATGACAGTGATTTCTTTACATCAAGTTTTTACGTCGCGGCGATTTATACAATGGATTCAAAACTTGAACAACGTTCTTGCATTAAATTTTGCTATAAAAATGAAATTAAGTGTTCCGACACATTAAAAATGTTACAAAAGTGTTATGGTGACGATACTGTATCGAAAACACAGGTGTACCAGTGGTATGAACGCTTTAAAAGTGGTCGTGAGGCTGTTGAGGACGATGCTCGTCCTGGGAGGCCATCGACATCGAAAACTGATAAAAACGTCAATGAAATCCGACAATTGTTGATCGAAAATCGCAAATTGACGATAAGGGAGATAGCTGAGACCACCAACAAATCATTCGGATCCGTTCAGAGCATTTTGCGTGAGGATTTGTGTCTGAAGCGAGTCACTGCAAAATTGGTGCCAAAAAAACTGAGTTTTGTGCAAAAATCGCATTGCGCTGAAATTTCAAAAGAGATGGTTTCCATGATCGATTCCGACCCAACAGTCATCCAACGCATAATTACATGTAACGAGACGTGGGTGTATGAGTACGACACGCAAACACGACATCAATCAAGTGAATGGCGAGCTAAAGATGAGCCAAGACCCAAGAAACCACGTCAATTTCAATTAAAGAAAAAAGTCATGCTTACTGTTTTCATTGACTACAATGGTGTCGTTCATCATGAATTCCTCCCAAAAGGCCAGACAGTCAACAAGGAATATTACCTAGGAGTTATGAAACGGTTACGCGAAGCTATCCGCAAAAAAAGACCTGCTTTGTGGGGCAACAACTCGTGGATTCTCCATGACAATAATGCGCCATCTCATAATGCGTTGATTATTCGTGAGTTTCTCGTCAAAAACAACACCAATACCATTCAACAACCGCCCAATNCTGGCACCATGTGACTTCTTCCTATTCGATCGACTCAAAAAACCACTACGAGGAACTCGTTTTGAGAGTGTGGAGGCAATAAAGCTAAAATCGCTGGAGGCACTAATGGCTATACCAAAAACCGACTTCCAGAAAAGCGTCGAGGGGTGGATCAAACGCTGGCACAAGTGCATCGCAGCCGACGGGGACTACTTTGTGACGGGGCGAACCCCGTCACGATATATTTATATTTGTATATCTCCGTTCTTTTCTTTCGCGTTATTACATTTATATACTTATATCTATTCCGTTCTTTCTATTTTTATATTCTTTTATTATTATATTGTATCTGTATAGATCCGATATATTATTTTGTATCTCCGGTCTACTTTAAGTATATTAAATAGCTTTATAATATACCCCGTGTTATAGTCTCTGCAAACCCATCTATACAAGCGACCGCGTGGCATAATATCGACGACGCGCCTATAGCGACACGGAGCAGACACGCGATTATCATCCGGCAGGTGCATGCCGCGGCGCGCAAACACCCGCGTTCCACACGCCGACCCCGGACGGACCGTAGGCCGCTCCGGGGTATAAAGGTGCGATTTCACGTAGCTATGATATCCAGATATTTACCCCCACTTCCATCGGTATTGCTGTAAAAGAGTGGGNGTAAAATCCAGATTGAATATCTCGCCGCAAACGTCTGCTGCGTTTTCATGGAGCGAAGATATCCAGATATTTGATTGAAAATGTATATCTATATATGTACGTAAAGTGTTTACTGCTGACGCTGGATTTGCAGATATTGCACAAAGTTTGTGTTGTGTTGTGCATTGTACTTGTCCTGAAAAATAAAAAGTGATTGTGTGCTACTTTGAATTGACGATGCAAACGTTGACAGACACGCAGTTAGGAACAATATGTAGCAATATAATGTTACAAGTGATAGCAGAGATTAGGCGACGACGCATAGCGGCAGTACTGGCAATGTTAAAAACAAATAGGAACGGAATTAAGAGATTGTACAAAAAAAAACAGTATTGGGTAGCACCTATCTTCCATAATCGTTCCAATTACGGTTTTTTCCACACATCATTACAACAGTTGCATTTGGAAGACATTCGTTTCCAGAACTATTTCAGAATGTCTGCAACGCAGTTGGAAGATTTATTATCTATTGTTGGCCCGCGACTACAGAAACAAGACGTCATCAGAGAAGCTATAACGCCATCGGAACGTTTGGCAGTAACGTTGAGGTAAGTTCATGTTACATTACTTTACTGTGATATGAAATAAACGAAATGATAGCAAAAGTTTGTTATTTCAACGATAGAAGTTTGTCTATATTATATATGCCTTTTACATATTTCAGATATCTGGCTTCTGGTGACTCCATGACATCCATGACATTTCAATATCTCATAGGGAAGACAACGGTGTGCAATATTATACATGAAACATGTACTGCAATTTGGGACTGCCTGTGGCCTTCGGTTTTACCGCCAGTAGTATCTGAAGAAGAATGGATAGAACTCGCACGGGACTTTCAACAATTGAGAAATTTCGTTCACTGCATTGGAGCTATAGATGGCAAGCACGTTGTAATTCAAGTATATATATATGTTAATAGCTATTTGTGTATTATTTATTTAACCGTAATAGTACAATTAATGAGAAATAGACAATGCATGACAGAGAAGAACATGGTACAAACAATAATTTCTAATGTTTCAGTGTCCTAACAATGCCGGTTCGACTTACTACAACTATAAAAATACTCACAGTATAGTATTGTTGGCAATTTGCGATGCAAAATACATCTTTCGTTATGTCGACATCGGGGCTTATGGGCGACGAAGCGATGGTGGTGTTTTTGAAGCCAGCACGATTGGCAAGAAATTTGATGAGGACTGCATGAATATACCAAAGCCAGCAGCTATCGAAGGAGGGCGAGTACTGCCGTACTGTCTTGTTGCAGACGAAGCTTTTCCTCTCAAACCATATTTGCTACGCCCTTATCCACGCAGGAATGGACTCTCGCCACAGAAAGATGTGTTCAATTATCGTTTAAGTCGAGCCAGGAGGATGATTGAGAATACTTTCGGCATATTAGCAAGCCAGTGGCGAATATATCGAAGGCCGATAATTGCTTGCCCAGAAAAAGTAAAATCAATAGTGCAAGCAACAGTGTGTCTACACAACTGGCTCCGACAAAGCGACATAGATAAAACAACAACTGCATACGTATCTGCAGGTTTGGTTGATGAAGATGCTCCCGATAATCCAAACGGATTTAGGCCAGGCTCTTGGCGAAGAATCATAGAGAGAAGCGCATTTACAGATATAACTCGATGCGGATCGAACATGAGTGCTCGCAGATGCATGGCAATTCGAGATGCATTTTGCGACTATTTTAACAACGAAGGAGCAGTAGCGTGGCAAGAAGGTCGTTAGAAAAAAATATTGTATTGTCTGTTCAATGAGAGAAAAGTCCGCGGAGTAGACAAAAATTCGTTTATTTCGCATATCCCCTATCAGAAAGTCCTATCACTCCACTGATTCCAGCGAGTGAGATTATCGCTATCTTGATAAGAGATATGCGCNAAATAAACGAATTTTTGTCCGCTCCGCGGACCTTTTTCTTATTGAACAAACAGTANTTGTCGAATAATGTGAAGTTCAAAAACCTTGTAGTGACCTTCAATCAAATTAAATAAGAAACTGAGTATGTGTGTGTAAATAAGAATTTAAAATTAAAGAAGACTACTTAATAATAAAAACCTATTTAATGATAGGTGTGCGAATAATGCGATGTTCAAAACCCGAGCGAATAATGTGATGTTCAAAAATCTTGTAATGACCTTTGATCAAATTAAATAAGAATCTGAATATGTATGTGTGTTTATTTTTATTAATATTGCACTACAATTTTGGCACTTTTATACTTGTACACATTTAACTAAACATATGTAAACATCCATATAAGAAATATGATAACATATAACACAAAATTGATAGACTTACAAAAATAAAATAAACTTGAAATGTCTATTAGTGTACAGTTGTTTTACATACCTCGTGTTTTATTGTGTGTAGACGACATATTTTGTTATATAACATGTATTAGTAATAAATAATATCAATGCATAAATGAAGGCACTAGAGATATCACATCAGCTTCTTATTTACTTGCTACAATACTATCTATAAATATATATATATTANAAAAATAAAATAACTTGTACTTTTAGTGAATCTAAACTTGTACTTTTTACTGCCCTCTCTTCGCATCGTGCAGCATTTGAAGTAAACAATGCATGATCTCGCTTTGTGTATCTTCGTTTTTTATCTTACGCAACTCGCTCTCCATGAACCTTGCAAAGTGCTTAATAGAGTCTTCTGATTCTGACATAGACCTCGACACATCCATATTCACTTGGAGAGGCTGGTCGAAGTGAATGGGCCGCACCAAAGCTTCCGCTATGTTTTGCAGACACTCACTATCACGCCTT